ACATTAACATAGATATGTTGTCTCAATGTTTAGACATGAGGTTATTCAATCCCTTGTCTGTTAATGATTTTACACAACTGGTCAAAAGCCCAACAACAGATAGAGGCTCACTCATTAACAATATTTATGTTAATGAAACATTTTCAAGTATTAATTTTGAAGTGCTTGACACTTATTACAGTGATCACGATACAGTATATTGTTCCTTTACTTAGGTTTTAGTGTCTCATTTGTGGCTGCACCTGAATCTTTTATGGTTTCAATTTGGTGCCCATAACCATTTAATGGTTGAGTAGCACCAGGATTCCTTTATGGGCTCCAATTTTATTGGTGCAGGACCCTTTGGTCCAGTTATGGTACAAAGCCCATTGGCTGTAGTACCAAAATGTACCTTATATCAATGGTACATGGCCACCCTCTAATTATTTTTATTATTTTAATCCATTTAATTTCACGTATACCATAATGTAAGTACCTTACAATGCATATTTTTTTTTCATTGTTTGTTTCTTCAGAAATACAAGGCAAACCAAATAGGGCAAATACACAATAAATAAAAGGTACACAATAATACTAATAATGCTAAGTATAATATATCTTTCAAGCATAATATTAGATTTTTAACAATACGTTCCGTGTACTGGCACTAAAGAAATGAAAAACTTTCAAATTGATGACATGTTAATACAGTTACTTTGTAAATGTATATATTTATATGTACATGCATATTTGCCACTTGTTTGTGCTTTCTAGCTCTATTTGATGATTTCACTATGTTTGATATGATATATTATTTCATGTATTTTATTAGTGATGAATCCTATGAATGTAATGATTTTCAAAAAAAATTTAAAATTTTTTAAGTCCCTTTTTTACTTAAACCATTACAAAATTCAGGTAGCTACTTCTATATTAATCAACTTTATATTCTTTTCTCCCTAGCTTGCAATATCACAAGATCGAATCCCGGCCCACTGTCTATGTGCATAATTAATGAGCCCACTCCATCTGCTCAGAGTACGGTAATTTTAATTATTACAATTATTTATTTTTCTGCCATTTAGGAAATAGATGTACATGTATTTATTGTGATGTTTGTTAGGTTGATATATTGAGGAATTGTCTCATTCTCAACCTCATAGCCTTATTAAGATTTTTGGTATGACACTAATGCATGATCACATGACTCTGATATGACTCTAAGCTTTCATTTTTAGAATTGGACATATTATTATTAACTATGCTGTAAACAAGACACAAGTAAAAGGCATTTATTCTAATTGTAAGGACAAATGGTACCCTGTACTACATGTGTGTATTACAAGACTTGGCTAAAATTTTACCAAAATTTTGATAATGAAATAATTTTTCATTTCTATAATTTTTTGTTACATTTACATGTACATACATTGTGTATAAAATTTGACTTTATTCCAATAAAAATTGGATATTTTCTGAAATTTTAATATTTCTTTAAAATTGGGCCAAGGCAGCCCAAACGCAGCCGTTCCGAATTCCATTCAGAAAGGGGTGTTTTATTTACTCAGCACCGCCGACGCACTTCTGTAATGGTGATTTTGTTGTTTAGAAGAAATAATATTTAAAAATCATTATAAAAATTTTAAATGATGCTCTGAATTCATAATGAAGCACACATGTTGTAAAATGAATACACTTACAGTAGATATAATACACATGGCTCAACCCATAGTAGTTAGAGATTAATCAGGAGATAGCCATTGTAGGTACAGTTGTTTGTGCAATGTTTTCAAGAACAGCACAAACCTGGCTCTTGAGTACCACACTAGCAATACTAACATCACTGATAGAGAAAGTTCTGCTCTATA